CCCCCCCGCCGTCCTATCCCAGCTCCCGAGTCCTTCCCCCAAGAGCAAGGATGTACTTGATTCCCTTTGACTTGGAGATGTTGCTGCTACCACAGGACAAGACGAAAGCTGGCCAGGAAACAGGTGTGGGGGAGGTACGATGACAGCTGGACACTCCGCTTCACCGCTGGGGCTGAGTCCCTCTGCTCGGGCCCTTTCCCTCAGTTGTAGCTTGGGACCTGGCCTCTGTGGTGGCCTCTTCCCCATTAGGGGAGGATGTTTTCAGAGGCCTTTAACAGCTGCCTTTTTTCTTGATGAGGTTTTGGGGTGTTTCCAGGGCCCCGGTGCCGTGCTGCTTTTCCCACACACCCCAGCCCCGAGGTCTGTCTTCAGCTCGCCCTGTGCCAGGCACTGGGGTCCAGCAGCGAGCAGGACAGACCTAGCCTCTCCCTCAGGCGGCCCCCTCCTGGTGGCTTGGCACAGTGGATCTGGTGCAGCCGATGCGAGGGGCACAGATGTGCCTGCCCCAGTGCCAGGGGCACGGACACGCTCATCTGCACTCTCATTAGTCATCCGTGTCTTCAGAACTAGCGTCTAGATCCTGGTACCCGGTCGCCTTTTCCTGGCTTTCCTCTAAAGTGTCTCCTCTGTTCCGACTTCCCTCCAGAAGGCCGGCTTCCGTCCCGTGGCCGGAAGGTCACCAACAGGTTCTCTGGCTGTTTAAGGTCACTGAAGCAGAGCGAAGCCGGGGCCTGCTCTTCTGAACCAAGACCCCTATTCCTGACACTGTGTCGCAGGCCAGGGTCTCAGGAGCAGACGCTGAGACACATGTTGGAGCATAGGATGTGTGTTGAGGGCCAGCACCTGAGATGGGAGCTGGGCTAATGCGGGTCTGGGGAGGAGAAGGGCCAGCTCAGGTGGCCGGGCCAGCAGGGAGCCCGGCAGAATTCCTTCCTCACAGCCCCTCCCACATCAGGCCAAGCCGACTGGGACTCATACGGCCTCGTGGGTCACCACACGGGCTGCCTTGGGCAGCTATGACTTGGTAAGGTGGCTCTTGGTGGGTTAAAGTAGGTGCCGCAGGAACCCGCGGGCTCATCCGCTGGGTGCGCTGCCTGCCCCTGGGCTCCTGGACCACGGCCCACCGTGCACCGCTTAGCACTCATGCCCTGAGGTGGGCGTGGCTCTGCCAGGCGCGAAGAGAGAGAGAGAGAGGAGGCTCCGCGGCTGGCAGCGTCCCCCACTCCAGCTACTGCTCCTGCTGATGGTGTGGCTCGTCACAAGAGTCTGCGCCCCTGGTCGCTGACCCTACTAGGTTCTTCATGAG